GAAAAATTAGCAAAGATCAAGGATTGTGCTGTTCCCAATTCAAAGCGGTCTCTACGGTAGTTTTTTGGACGGACAGCATACTACAGCCGGTTCGTTAAGAATTTCAACAAGATCGCTGCACCACTGTACGATTTGCTCGGTCAAAATCGGAAATTTGAATGGACTGATGAAGCTTTTGTGCATGTCAAGGCGCGGATGTTGGATCAGCGACTGACCCTCAAACTGCCCAGGGTCGGAGAGATGTTCATTGTTGCAACGGACTCCAGTGATCGCGGTATCGGCGCAGTCCTAAAGCAGAGGAATGGAGTTATCGAATATGCCAGTCGCGTCCTGAATAACGCTGAATAGAAGTACTCCACCATTGAGAAGGAATGTTTAGCGATCGTCTGGGCCCTGGATAAGTGGAAACCGATCACAAATCCCTGGAGTAGACCAGGACCACCAGAGATCCTCGCGAGAAGCTTGCACGATGGGCACTCCGGTTGCAAGAGTACGACTTCACAATCCAGCACGTGCCGGGGAAGGAGAACCACCTAGCTGATTGGCTGTCAAGGCCAGAGGCTGAAAATGAGGTCCCCAAGATCATGATTGGAGCTAATGTCCTCGTCGTCGAACTGGATCCCGGAAAGTTGGTGCAACTCCAACGGCAGGATCCGGTGTTACAAAAGGTTGCAGCCGCCTTGTTGGATGGAAGAAACATTGAGAACGGAGAGGGAGACAAGTAATTAGAAGTATTCCAGAGTCACATTGATCGGCTGAGGTTGAATGAAGCTGGCATAATTTCCTGGAACGCCACAGATTCAGATGTTGTGCTGCCCGTGATACCTCGTTTCTTGGGACGGAACCTCATCGTTGAATGCCATAAGATGGCACATACAGGGTGCACCAAGACATACGTCCTACTCCAGCGGAGGGCTTATTGGCCCGAGACGAGAAGTGAGGTGATGGATTATGTGGTGTCCTGTAAGTGTTGTCGACCAATGAATGCGGATACGACAGGGGCAACCCATCCCATGGAACCCATTCCTGTTTCAGCAATCGGCGAGTTGTGGTCAGTTGACGTTATGGGTCCCTTTTCGGTGACAACCAGTGGGAACCAATACATCGTGATAATGACAGAACACCTGTCGCGATGGATTGAGGCGGCAGCCGTGCCGAATCAGCGGGCGACGACGATCACGGGAGTGGTAATGCTTCACATCGTGGCCAACCATGGGGTGCCAAAGATGATCCTAACCGATCATGGGCCTTGCTTCGAGAGCGAAGAGTTTAGGAATTGCTTGCAGAAGCTGGGTATCAGAGGGCTAAGGAAATGAAATTGCCAATGTTGCTGTTAGCTCATCGTGCTTCCACGCAGTCAACAAATGGCAAGTCCTCGTTTATGTTAATGTACGGTCGACATCCGCGCCTTCCGGTTGATCAGGAAATTGGGTTGTGACCGGCAACACGCTTGTCTCCGGAGGAGCTAGAGGAAGAAAGAAGGAGAGCTCAGGAAAGGACTAGGCAGAAAACGGCAGGTAGAAATGTCCGAACGTTCCCCATAGGCACGAACGTAAGTGGAATAATCACCAGAATCCTAAAAGTAGTGGACGGCGGTCGCATAAGCTGGGCAGTATTTTTTTTTTAGACGTTCATCTCAGATTCCCTTGTTCCTTAGCCCTTCATACCAACTCCTCTTCCAGGTCGCTAAATCCGTAGGCATTCTTATATAAAGGAGTGGACTGGGGTCGCAGAAGCTGGACAGCCGATGATTTTCAGACCTTCATCTCAGATACCCTTGTTCCTCAGCCCTTCATACTAACTCCTCTTCCAGGTCGCCAAATCCGTAGGCTCTGGATTCTTATATAACGCTCATTTAACCATCGAAACGCGAAGTTTGAAACGTTTAAGCTACGCATGCGAAAAACCATGCAATTTTTTCCTGCTTTCTCTTACAAGTGGACTCCAAGTTGCAGAATGGCACTTGGAAACTCCATGCGCTCATTGGCGAAAATGTTGTTCCCACAGTTCAGCCCACTCTCTACCGCTCTCGCTGCGTAAACTTCGACGTTAAGCCAAAAAGTTCCAGATGGCTGGAGCAAAATCTAAATCTCCAACTTCGTTTGTGGCACTAAACTGAAATAATTATGGAGGATGGGCTAAACATAAATTCACATTTCCGCTATAAATTGCGAAGCTCAAGCAGCGTTTTAGTGCGCATCCAGCTCGTACTAATCTACGCCACCACTCCTTCCTAGTTTAACGAACTCGTATGTGAAATAAAATAGCATAATAGAAATAATTGCTCATATTGCTTAGTTGATCTGTGAGTGCTGTATCATTGGTTTGGCCTCCTACCCCGACAACTAATGCCTTAGCCCTCCTAGCTACACACCGGTCCTATATTAAATTGTCAGTTAAGAATAATAGCTAGTTTTTATTTTGCCTGGGACCACCAAGCCCAAACCAAAACCAACGCACAAGGGTCCATTTGAGAATGCACACTGGGCAACTACTTGAATGACCTTACAATTTATCAACCAGACATAAACCTGCGTTGCCCCCCTGCTTGACCTGGAAGCTTACACCAACCCTCCGTCACCGCTTGGCCACTCTCCGAGTAACCATATTCTAGTCCATTGCTCCAATCATAGCTGCCGCCGCCACCTGCTTTTTCCAGCGGTTGTGTGCTGTTTGCTTGCTCAAGATGACTGAACTCTAATACTAACCTGGCTTTTCCCCGACGCGATAAAATATATAATAACGGTAGGTTTATTTCCTAACTCGTAAGGGATATGATAATCACGGAACGATCGGGTAAATCAAGACATGTTCGGGAGATCTTTGGTAATATCCAAAGCGCGATCATGACCGCCTGGTGGCTCGCAACTTTGCAGACCTGGCAGACGCACGAGGGATGAATGCCTCGTGTAAGAACCAGGCATGCTCTGCAGGGGGCGTTGAGCGGTGATGCGTTCGTGAACACTTAAATCCAGTGTTTCGGGGGCTTCGTCCATCCTGGGTGTTCCTATGCATGGCTTTTAAGTTAGGAAATTCACAAAATAATCTTTTTCTCATCTCTTTGTCGCTGCTTTGTTGGGCTCACTGTGTCGTTTATCTGGCAGCGCAATAAACTGCAGATGATAGGAAGCTGACTTTTTCTTAGGTAAAAATTTGAAAGAAGTACATCAGCTGATCAGAAAACCCTCTGTGGCGTCCATGGCCCAAATCGACGTTAAAGGCTGCGGTCACCTTGGTCCTAATTGAGTTTGCTGCGCACCAAAACGCGCTTGGTCAAACAGTGATAAAACACGTTTTCACCTGTAGCTTTACCGGCAGTGGACACATACAGTGATGAAAAAAATCAAATTTTGATTGTTCTATTACCAGCAACCAGTGCTAGCGGCTTTAGCTTTGTGTCATGCATCACCTGTTGATTGAAGCTTAGAGCGTTTCTCCGGGGATTAGTGACTATTACTCTTACACTCATTTTTTTCTCTTAATATGCAAAATACGCAGCTTATTCCAGATAGAACGGTCCATAATATAGGAACTTCTGTTTCCATGAGTCATCATGGTATTGCTGTCCCTTATCACCCCAGCCGTCCTCATATTTATACTGGTTCGGTTTACGCACCTCATATTTTAAAGCTCAGCCAGGCCCTAGTTTAAACTCACTTGGAACAAACCTACCCATCATTAGCCACTCGTTTTCAACACCCTAACTGTAAAAGCAACTTATTTTCTTTTATTGGACAGCATGCTGTCTGATACCTTCTAAAACTAACCGGCCATTTCTGATCTCACCCACTTCCCTCCTCTTTCCACGTTTCGATCTTCATCAGTACTTTATTTGAACGCCCTGTATAGCCTTTGTTCACCATATACTGTCCGCGCTTTATGCCTGACGAGATCTCCGGCTTAACAAAAAATTCCGGGAACACTGTGCAAGATTTGTTTCGCTCGCGTGAGTCTTGGTCAGCCCAAAATCCCGCCGTGCGCAGAATTGCACATCCCCTATGCAAACACTCCAACCATACATCTGTTTCCGGGTTGTCCATTATCTCATATATGCCAGTGCAATTAAGCCCTCGACCCTGCCATACCCAGTCTGACGGCACACCGCAAATTTAGCTGTGCGCTCAGGCCACTCGTTTCTTTAACTACAATAAAAAACAAAGTAGGTACGTGGCCATAGCTGCCCCAGCGACAAGTTCGTCCCAATATACTGAAACTTACGTTCAGATTCTCGGTGGGCATTTATTGCGTGCTCCCGACCGGCCAACCGTTTACTATGCAGTTCGGCTCTACTGCACAAAGGTTGACGCCAGGGAGTCCACGTAATTTCGCCATGGTCATGAAATTCCAGCTACTATTAATCCATATTGCGAATTTCTCACCCCATTATCCCCACATACTTTTCTCGTAACTTGGACCGTAAATCCAACTGTACAAGTCCCAGAAAAGGTTTTAGTTTCCAGTTCAAAACAACTAGCTCGATCGAAGCAACACTCTCGCTCTACCAGGTATGCCGTTCTATGCCTCTCATTTTACACAATTTACAGTTTTCCTATCACGTGTTTTTGTTTCTCTTTTCCGGTTGTGTTGTTGCCCGCCATCTTCAAATTGTACCGGTTTGATCTTCCTAACGCTTGGCGTCTAGTATAATATATAAAAATCCGAATAACTATGTTTCCCTGCCCGCGATGCCCACTGATCTTGAATCGTGCCAGTACAACGGGCGCCATTGGGCAGGCTAGTCGTCCAAATATGGGGCGCCATTGGGCAGGCTAGTCGTCCAAATGTGCCATTTTCGGTTTGCTATGTCGCATTGGATTGCTGAGGGTGCGAAACTTACAGTGCCAGTAATTTCATCGAGTCAAGGTGTGGAATCCCACGGTATGCAATTGTTTGTTGAAATTCTTTGAGAGCTTCTTAGGGAGGGCTCTGAAACGACAATTTCTTAGCAACGTTGCCAACAGTAAAAACATCGACCGAGTGATTTCAGGCCAATGTTGGAAATTTTGCCAGTAAGCTCGGACTGAGCATAAAAGTCACTTAAATTTGTGTCGCACAGTGAGTACAATTTGAGGGTCGTGAGGACTACGCCCCCTTAGCTTCGTGCAAATTATTGGATGTTCCCGATGTACGAGGACAAGCCTCGTTCCTCCTTTCTAGTAGAGTATACAAGAGATTGAGCTACAGACAGAAGTGATTCTTCCGTATATTTCGCGCATTATCAAAACACTAGGATTACCTGTATCATATATCCACTTTAAGTTAATAAGATTTTGCGTCCGGTGAAGATCATTGTTCACCGTTTTCTGATTCAGTGAACCTTGAAAACTTGCTCCATTAAAACAATCACCAACACGAAGGGGTCACCATAAAATGTATTCGGCATAAATATTTTTACCCAGATGTGATGACCTCGCGGAAACCAATTTCATTCACGTGATGCCAATCAATGAAGCTCAATTCGGCGTGCAGAATTTTGGATCTTTCCAGGGTTGGGAATAACGGAGTGAGGGTAGTATTTGAATAGTCGTGTCACAAAGACGCATAGAACATGACAGGTTTATGGACCGAAGCTATGTAGCCTATGACAAAGGCACAAATGGAGAAGCCCCGTATTTTATGTTTCCCTTCTGGATATGGAAATCGGAATCTGTTGCCCAAACCGACCAACTGTTGAGCCGAGTCTACAAGCTTTTCCTTACCCACAGGTATGTAAGCATGCTGAAGCCATTAAACTAAGTAATCTGTACCAATCACTGTTGGTCAGACGAACGGCCTTGGAACGTGACCTTGACGCAGTCCATCAGCTGCTGATGGCCTCTTTCGCCGGAGGAAGTTGATCTGCGTGGCGCTTTGGCAGGATGAGTTATGACAATCCTATCCTGCGGACAGCTCAGAGCGTTGACGCACCACCTGTATCAGTCGTTCGAAAGGGACGCCAAACCGCGACTGCCCCTCCTTACACCCAAAAGCCACATTGTAAGTCCCTAAATTCTCTGTGTGAGCTATTTATATAAGTCTGACCGTTGGGTAGCAGTTTTATGATCCTTTTTCCATTCTAAGCAGCTGAGGTTATGTAAGTATCGAGTGTTGACCCAAACCCAGTGGCCATTCTGGTACATATTCAAGCGGCGACATGTTTACTGATGTTTGAAAGTCGATAACTTATAACTTGTGCTCGTCCAGAGGTTGGTGTTGAGAATAGTCTCAGGAATGAGGAGCCTCAGCTTCACAGACAGCTGCCTGGCGCCTGAATCATTCACTCTCGATTACCGCCTGGCTTGTATGAGCAAGCGGAGGCTTCCGGTTGGAATCGCTCTATAAGCACTTCATAACATTGACAGGGTCTACTCTAGATAATATAGCAGTTCCGCTAACTAGTTGCCACCTGTTAGGTGTTTACACAGGATGGTGTTGAAGTAGGCATCCCTGTCTTTTGCCCTTACCAGTGTGAAACTGATTCAAGTCTCCGACGTGAAAGGTTTCTGTTTTGGTCTTTACTGAAGCATGTAGGCTTTCTTAAGCCCCGGATTTTTTTCACTTCGCGTCGCCATTCGCGAAGATGATCTGAAAGGCGGATTCACCGCAGAAATGTTATGACGCGATGCACAATGTGCGATTTGCAGTCATTCCAAATAGTTTATCATAAGATGCCCCAGTTGAATGGGTGGCCAATTGTTTGTAAAGGCAGCTCGCAGCGTTTTGTCAAAGGGAGAAATGTTCCTGTAGCAGTCGAAGCGCATTATTGATATGATTGATTATTACACCGACTTTGGGGCGAGATGTCCCAAGTGGTTAGAGCGCGAATTTACTGACCGGAAGGTCCGTGTTTCGAATCCGACCTCCGCCTCTCGACTTCCCCTGTCTAGGCTTGGGCAACCTGGTAGTATCCCAGCCCTCGTGCTTCCTTCGGGTGGCATGGCAGCTGGGCACCGAAAGGATGCTACAGCTGAACGCTTTCTTTCTTTTTTTCTTTCTATACCAACTTCAATAAGCTGTGGAACGTTAATATACGTGCGTAATGCGCCAAGAAAGATGACGGTTGGCGGGATAGCCCAGAGGTTAGAGCGCGAATGTACTGACCGGAGGGTACTGGATCGACTCCAACTTCTATCTTTCGACTTCCGCTTTCTAGACTTGGGCAACTTGATAGTATCCCAGCCCTCGTGTTTCCTTCTGGTAGTGTGGCAGTTAGGCACTGAAAACTAACATGATCATCATCATTGACAGCATGACTAGTTTTCACTCGGTCCCTATCCTGGAAGGCACCGAAAGCACCCAAACGTTATGTAACCTTCATATTCCTCTGCCTGGTCAAGGGTTAGCCGCCTCTCTGTTTACGCCACTCTGAGTTGGGAATGGATAACAGCCCTCTCTTCGGCAAACGCAACATGTCTCAATCAACGCAGCTTCTGGTGCTGGACACATTCTTCAACGCAAGCACTCGTTGCACAGCCGAAAACTCGCTTTCTAATCGCCTCGTTACGTGTTCGCCAAAATCAAGTCCTTCGAGCGGTGTTGAGCGCCTGAAGACGTCTCAGTTTCGCTGTTCGAACAGGCTGATTCTCAGCCATACAATGATACTGCCCGCACCGTAGCTTGATACACATGTCCTTTGAGAGTCATGGATACACCACTCTGAAGCCATAGGTGTCTCAAACTAGCGAACGCGAACCGGTCCTTGTAGACTCGTGCATTGACCTCATCTTTCACACTACAATCAGAACTATTACAACTGTCAAAATACATGAAACGCTCCACAACTTCCATTATCTCTTCCTGGATTGTAAGTGGCGTTTTCAGTAACTGCATGTCCACGAGCATGACCTTACACTTTGTAGGTGCAAAGTGCATACCAAAGGACGGGATGACTTTGGTCAGTTCATCCAGAAACACCTGCGCCTTCTCCTTTGGTTGGAAGACGAGAACGATATCTATATATTCCAGATCGTCACAGTCTATTTGAACGCCGGGGTTTTGGAGACCTAGCGTTGTGCTCGTGATTTCATCGATCACGAATTCAAATAGGAATGGGAAGAGTGGGCATCCATAACGGACACCGCTTTGTTCGCGGAAGCTTTTGGAGAGTTCGCCGTATACTCTCACGTTCGGAAGTCCGAGATTTCAAAGGGCTTATTATGTTCAGAAGCTTCCGGGACATTCCTTGATGGGCGATTGTGTCGAGAAAAACAGACCGGTAAACCGAGTCGAATGCGCCTCGGAAATCCAGGAATACTAGAATTGTGGGTCGCTTATACGTATGGCGTTCTTCTAGCACCTGATGGTGTGTGGAGATTTGGTCAACATAAACCCTACCAGGCCGGAATCTCGCTTGCTGCTCTCGAGTCAGTGTTTCATGAGCCACCGTAAGGTGATGAAGCAAAGTGACACCAACAGTCTCGTTACGACCGGGGTCAAACTGATCCCCTGTGGTTACCACACTCACTACGGGCCCTTTTTTGAAAATGGGCACTATCGCCGACTCTCCTCAGTTGTCTGGGTTAGACTTTCCCTTGATACAACGATCAGACGAGCGCTGACTGAGGACTTCATCTCCATCTTTGAGCAATGCTAGTGGGTCATCCGGACCAGAAGCTCGGTGGTGCTTGAGGTGATATATGCAGTCGCAACTCTCCGAGGCCGTAGGTGATCACACGTTCACTTTTAAGAGTTTTATTTCACCTATGGGCTTCAGATGAGTGCCAACTAGTGGCCACGGCGGTTTTTTTGTATGTATTCAGCCCACCGGTCGAGGCGTTTTTTTTTATTCGAGATGCTTGGTAGTTTCACCCATAGGTGGTCTCCAGGGACCGGTTGCATGGATCAAATTAAATAATTTTCGGGCGTTCCATTTCTTCGGCTTTCTGTGTCCACCACACTTCACGGTCGTCTTGCACGCTCACCTTCACTTGACATCTGCTAATTTGTCGCACCAAGTTATGTTCCAGGCGGGCTGGTATATTTCTCCGAGATTTAAGGAGTCCCACCGTTTGTTCTGATATCCAGTGCTTTAGTGCGCCTGTTGGTGTCTTGAGAAATTCCCAGCACTATGCAAACAGATGGCAATCTCGTCCCAGCATGAGTTCGCCTCTGATGGTGGAGCCTTTGGAAGAGACTCTAGAGGGGATTCTGGTATATTCCGAATCTACCAGTCCCTTAGTTGCCAAGCTATTTGTCCGCACCTTACGCGGTCCAGGAAAGGTTAGAGGGACGCGACTCCGAAAGAGCGTGTGGTTGGAATCTACAAAGGTATTCCAAAACTACCGATATTCAGTTACTGATCCGCGCCATCGGTAACTGATGGCAGTTTGATCGATTTGAGTTTGTGACCGGCATGTCGTTGGAGGACCCCACATGACCAGATGACCTGGGGTGTTTCGGAAGTTAGTAATGCATAAAAGCAGCCTGCGGTCAGTGCACAACTGAATCAACCCTTCACTATTGAACGTACGTACCGAATAGATCTCTTGATTGAGTCTCAGCTGCGCTAAGCCTGCTCACTTTTACATTCATATCTCCAGCAACCACAACGATATCTGAATTTTTAGCTCGCCGCAGCAGGGCACTCAGAGCGTTATAAAACTGGTATTTACTGGTGTCTGTCAGACTTTTGAAGCAAAGGCTCAAGGAGGGGTACCTCAACCAAAACCCTTGCTCGGTGTAGGTAACCGGAAAGTACCATTTACCCACACAGTTCCTTGCCTCCCCACCGCCTTCCCACCACAAGCACACGTTGCTGGGTTGTATGGCTTTCACTTACCTGAGCGATGGGCCTTATGCTCCCCACTGCCTATTAACAGTCAACAAAATAACATCTTGCTAAATCAACAAAATCCTTTGTACATAATAGTTTCTAGCGTCCTTACTCTATGTCAAGTTGGAAAACAGGTAATTCTCGCTGAAACCTTATACTTCCTTGAGGGTGATATATGCTGTGTCTCCGAAACATGCATACAAGACGCAAGCGTTGCTCTCCATCTCTGAACGCTAAGGAGGAGCTCAGATCTTTCACATTTCTCTCTCCGCGCTTCCGTTGATCGAGAGGCGATGACTCGCGGAACATATGGCATGGAGGTTGCAATCAGCCACAGAGCTAGACACGCTTTTCTGAATTGGATCATCATCATCATCATCGACAGCATGACATCAGTGTTCAACACCGATGCTTCACTGCCGTACAACCATGACTTATTTGAAAGCCTTATTGTAAAGAAAAGAATAAAAGTGGACGGGGAAGGGACTTAGTGCTAGGTTAACACAATCATTCCGAGGTGCCTACACCTCCAGACATTCACTCAGGCAATCTGGATAGAAACTGACAACAAGAACGCCACTGACATCGGTTGGCAGCCATATCTTGTAGTGTCTCCAACCAGGCACAGTGAGGATCACGCGGTCCCCATCCTGG